AGTGCATCTATCCATCATAAAAGTGCATCCATCCATCATAAAAGTGCATCCATCCATCATAAAAGTGCATCTATCCATCATAAAAGTGCATCCATCCATCATAAAAGTGCATCTATCTATCATAAAAGTGCATCTATCATCATAAAAGTGCATCCATCCATCATAAAAGTGCATCTATCATCATAAAAGTGCATCTATCCATCATACAAGTGCATCCATCCATCATAAAAGTGCATCCATCCATCATAAAAGTGCATCTATCCATCATACAAGTGCATCCATCCATCATAAAAGTGCATCCATCCATCATAAAAGTGCATCTATCCATCATAAAAGTGCATCTATCCATCATACAAGTGCATCCATCCATCATAAAAGTGCATCCATCCATCATAAAAGTGCATCTATCCATCATACAAGTGCATCCATCCATCATAAAAGTGCATCCATCCATCATAAAAGTGCATCTATCCATCATAAAAGTGCATCTGTCCATCATCAAAGTGCATCCATCCATCATAAAAGTGCATCTATCCATCATAAAAGTGCATCTGTCCATCATCAAAGTGCATCCATCCATCATAAAAGTGCATCTATCCATCATAAAAGTGCATCTGTCCATCATAAAAGTGCATCCATCCATCATAAAAGTGCATCCGTCCATCATAAAAGTGCATCTGTCCATCATAAAAGTGCATCCATCCATCATAAAAGTGCATCCATCCATCATAAAAGTGCATCCATCCATCATAAAAGTGCATCTGTCCATCATAAAAGTGCATCTATCCATCATAAAAGTGCATCCGTCCATCATAAAAGTGCATCCATCCATCATAAAACTGCATCCATCCATCATAAAAGTGCATCTGTCCATCATAAAAGTGCATCCGTCCATCATAAAAGTGCATCCATCCATCATAAAAGTGCATCCATCCATCATAAAAGTGCATCTGTCCATCATAAAAGTGCATCTATCCATCATAAAATTGCATCTATCATCATAAAAGTGCATCCATCCATCATAAAAGTGCATCCATCCATCATAAAAGTGCATCTATCCATCATAAAAGTGCATCCATCCATCATAAAAGTGCATCTATCCATCATAAAAGTGCATCCATCCATGATAAAAGTGCATCATCCATCATAAAAGTGCATCTATCCATCATAAAAGTGCATCCATCCATCATAAAAGTGCATCTGTCCATCATTAAATGTGCATCTATCCATCATAAAAGTGCATCTATCCATCATAAAAGTGCATCCATCCATCATAAAAGTGCATCCATCCATCATAAAAGTGCATCTGTCCATCATAAAAGTGCATCTATCATCATAAAAGTGCATCTGTCCATCATAAAAGTGCATCTGTCCATCATAAAAGTGCATCCATCCATCATAAAAGTGCATCTGTCCATCATAAAAGTGCATCTATCCATCATAAAAGTGCATCCATCCATCATAAAAGTGCATCTATCCATCATAAAAGTGCATCTATCATCATAAAAGTGCATCTATCCATCATAAAAGTGCATCCGTCCATCATAAAAGTGCATCCATCCATCATAAAAGTGCATCTATCCATCATAAAAGTGCATCCATCCATCATAAAAGTGCATCTTTCCATCATAAAAGTGCATCCATCCATCATAAAAAGTGCATCCGTCCATCATAAAAGTGCATCCATCCATCATAAAAGTGCATCTATCCATCATAAAAGTGCATCCATCCATCATAAAAGTGCATCCATCCATCATAAAAGTGCATCTGTCTGTCATAAAAGTGCATCCATCCATCATAAAAGTGCATCCGTCCATCATAAAAGTGCATCTATCCATCATAAAAGTGCATATGTCCATCATAAAAGTGCATCTATCCAACATAAAAGTGCATCTATCCATCATAAAAGTGCATCCGTCCATCATAAAAGTGCATCCATCCATCATAAAAGTGCATCTATCCATCATAAAAGTGTATCTGTCCATCATAAAAGTGCATCTGTCCATCATAAAAGTGCATCTATCATCATAAAAGTGCATCCATCCATCATAAAAGTGCATCTGTCCATCATAAAAGTGCATCCATCCATCATAAAAGTGCATCTATCATCATAAAAGTGCATCTATCCATCATAAAAGTGCATCTGTCCATCATAAAAGTGCATCCATCCATCATAAAAGTGCATCCATCCATCATAAAAGTGCATCTGTCCATCATAAAAGTGCATCCATCCATCATAAAAGTGCATCTATCCATCATAAAAGTGCATCTATCATCATAAATGTGCATCTATCCATCATAAAAGTGCATCAGCTCAGATCATTGGGTTATGGAATCACTATATTACAGGGGATATATCATGAAAATCTGCCTTTCTCTGTGTGTTAGTGCTGTAATCCGGTGCTTCTACCGACACAGAAAATGTGTAAAGTGAAACCCAGTAACTTTGTTTTGGTGATGTCACGGCCGGCACGCAAGCCGCGACAAAGATGGAGACAACACGTTGGATAATAATCAAAAGAATAACATTTTAGTTAAGTAAGAATGATTAAATGGGAAAAAGACGGGACGAAAAGAAAACAAACAAGTGAATCAAAACAAGGGAGAGCGCGCCGTCACAGCTGAAGGGACAGGTGACCCTCCTCAGCCAATGACGTCACTCGCCCTAACCCATCCTGCTAACCACACAACCAACTCATCTAACCCATGATCATAACAGTGAGCCTTTCTCTGAGAGCATGTCTAATATAAGCCGGTCAGATTTCGCTCCTTCTGCCGTATGAAGAGGATCTTATTATAATATTCCCGGCCCTTAATCTGCACGTTCACACACACCAGCGACATTGGGTTCGGCGAGCGCCAACAGAGACCAGTTCTAACGCACTGGAGAAGATCCAGCAAAGCCTGAAACTGTTCTGTGGTCGAGCACAGACGACACTGAACACTATTGACCAGAACATGTCAGCGCTGTCTTATAAACACCTCAGGAACTGTGGACACTTGTGGAAGAGTTCAACATGATGAGGAGATGATCAGTGTAAGTCTCCGCTAACATTCAGAAACGTGTAAAAGTGAAGCTCTCCCTGAGTCTCTCCGTAAGGCTGCACTCGCTGCTGTTACTCCTGATTCTGGATCAGTGAGATCGGCCTGTGTTGTTATTGCCGGAGTCTCTGAAGCTCGTGTGAAGGCTCCGCCCTCTTCTGAACGGAGGCGGAGCTAAAGCTCATTTGCATTTAAAGGGACACACACAAAAATGGCTGTTTTTGCTCACACCCAAAAAGGGGCAAATTTGACGAACTATAATAAATGATCTGGTATTTTGAGCTGAGATTTCACACACACATTCTGGGGACACCGTAGATTTATATTACATCTTGTGAAAAGGGAATTGAGAACTGAGACTACGTCCCCTGGATATGACTGAGAGTCCGTGTCCCGAACACAACCAGGGTCACACCAGGATTCGACCGGACTTTCCCTTCCAGCAACTGGTTTCAGCTCAGACCGCTGTATGGAAGCAATGTGAGAAACGCCCGAGATGCCAAAGCCAAACCCAAGCGCTGCCCAAACCTGCCCATCAGGGAGAGAGAGATTCCTAAACTTCCTTCCTCGCTTGAGCAGATGTGTGTCGGGATATGATGAAGTAACATCTATTTCACCCGAATCAAACATTACACTCTTAAAAACACAGATTCCAGAAGGGATTTTTCTCAGCGATGCCATCGAGGAATCATTCTGGGTTCCCCAAACACCCTGCTCTGAAAACTACCATTTCAATAATCTAAAGAACCTTTATTCACTATAAAGAAACTGTTGTGGTTTCATGGATGTTAAAAGCTCTTCATGGAACATCGACGCCAATGAAGAAGCTTTATTTTTAAGAGACTGTTAATAAGCACATTAATGGGATAAATCACGCAAAAATCCTTTATTCTGCCTCATGTATTCATCTACTAACAGCTCACGCCAGCTCTCGGCATTAAAAACTACTGTCAGACACATCTATAATGTGTGAGCTCATACCGGTGTAGCGTGTGTGTGTGTGTGTGTGTGTGTGTGTGTGAGCTCATACCGGTGTAGCGGCTGCAGGTGTGTGTGTGTGTGTGTGTGTGAGCTCTAACCGGTGTAGCGGCTGCAGGTGTGTGTGTGTGTGTGTGTGTGTGTGAGCTCTAACCGGTGTAGCGGCTGCAGGTGTGTGTGTGTGTGTGTGTGTGTGTGAGCTCTAACCGGTGTAGCGGCTGCAGGTGTGTGTGTGTGTGTGTGTGTGAGCTCTAACCGGTGTAGCGGCTGCAGGTGTGTGTGTGTGTGTGTGTGTGTGTGAGCTCTAACCGGTGTAGCGGCTGCAGGTGTGTGTGTGTGTGTGTGTGTGTGTGTGTGTGAGCTCTAACCGGTGTAGCGGCTGCAGGTGTGTGTGTGTGTGTGAGCTCTAACCGGTGTAGCGGCTGCAGGTGTGTGTGTGTGTGTGTGTGTGAGCTCTAACCGGTGTAGCGGCTGCAGGTGTGTGTGTGTGTGTGTGTGTGTGTGAGCTCTAACCGGTGTAGCGGCTGCAGGTGTGTGTGTGTGTGTGTGTGTGTGTGAGCTCATACCGGTGTAGCGGCTGCAGGTGTGTGTGTGTGTGTGTGTGTGTGTGTGTGTGTAAGCTCTAACCGGTGTAGCGGCTGCAGGTGTGTGTGTGTGTGTGTGTGTGTGAGCTCTAACCGGTGTAGCGGCTGCAGGTGTGTGTGTGTGTGTGTGTGTGTGAGCTCTAACCGGTGTAGCGGCTGCAGGTGTGTGTGTGTGTGTGTGTGAGCTCTAACCGGTGTAGCGGCTGCAGGTGTGTGCGTGTGTGTGTGTGTGTGAGCTCATACCGGTGTAGCGGCTGCAGGTGTGTGTGTGTGTGTGTGTGAGCTCTAACCGGTGTAGCGGCTGCAGGTGTGTGTGTGTGTGTGTGTGTGTGTGAGCTCTAACCGGTGTAGCGGCTGCAGGTGTGTGTGTGTGTGTGTGTGTGTGTGAGCTCATACCGGTGTAGCGGCTCCACTCGGGGTCCAGCTCGGCCCGGTCCGCTAGGCAGGTCTTCATCAGGCGTAGACAGTATTCGCTGCAGGGCTTCAGAGTCGACAGAGCCAAACACTGGGAGCAGTACAGCATCCGTGTGAAGCCCGAGACACACACCGCACTCATGCTGACCTGCCACACACACACACACACACACACACACACACACACGCTCTACTGAAGGACATTCCTCTGAAACACACTGATAATGTCACTCAGTGCTGCTGAGAACAGGGACTTCTGCTGTACACACAACTATATATATACAGTATATATACTGTATATATATATATATATATATATATGTATTATTATTAACTTATGTGGCAAGTATTCCTGTAATAAGTGGATAATAAACATCCAGCCGGTTGTTATCTCAGAATAAACCCGACAGGGTGATCAGGATCAGGTCTTCATCAGCCTGAAGGGGTTTATTCTGAGAAAAACACACACACACACACACACACACACACACACACACACACACACCTGAAGGGGTTTATTCAGACATAACAGCCGGCTGGATGTTTATTATCCGCTTATTACAGGAATACTTGCCACATAAGTTAATAATTAGACACGAGATATTGATCTCGATATTGATAATAAATTATTATTAATTTAAGCATATTCCTCACATTCTTTCAACTTAAATTCAAAATAACTCACAATATCATGCATAACTCTTTTAATTCAGCTCTAAATATCTTACATTGGGAGTCTTTGCCGACCTCTTGTGGAAAAATAATAATAACACATGATATTTCACGACTCTAGATGGGCTTATAGCTCTATATGGAGCAGATGAGATGTTCCGCTGGGTCCTAAAGTCACCTCAGTATCCGTTCAGACAAACATTTAGACAACATAGAATATTTTTTGTGTAAAGTTTTAGCATTTTTAGTTTGAGTGTTGAGCATTTTTAGTTTTTTTCTATGTGTACTGAAGCATTCCTCGCATTCCAGTCATTCCTAAGGGGGTCAGATTGACCCGCGAGGGAAAGAGGTGCTACTTCTTTAAATATCAAACCACAAAACTCCTCGAATCCATTCGATTTTTTTTGTGGATTCGTGGTGCAAGTGCGACAAAAGTCATCGGGTCTTGGACCCCTATGATGAACACTCAATTTTTTAAATAAAAAAAATATATAATTCAGGGTCAAAATGACCAGAGGGAAGGATGAACCAGATGGATAATACCTGGATAAACAGCACCCTCTCCCTCGTCACACACACACACACACACCTCGGACACCCTGTTGGCCACATCCCGCCCGACTGCGAGGCCCTGGACGAAAGCCCGCGCTGAGACGAACGCTCGCGTCACCTGAGTCTTCATCTTCGTGGGAACGTCTCCGAAGGGCTTGAGCTTCTCCGTGAGCTTCCCGACACACTCCAGATAGTCTTCAGTGAGGAGATACTGGGAGTTGAGCAGCGCAAACATGCGCTCCAGCAGACGAGACCAGAACTCGCTCAGCATCTCCTCCAGATGCACTCCTCCACCGGTGTAATATCTCCTCAGCTCCGAGAACAGGTTCTGGAACACCTCGGCGTTCTGCAGGTACGGCTTCCCGTAGGTGCGCAGGAACATCTCGTTCAGGGAGCGCTCCGTGCTCTCCAGCAGCTCCAGGAAGAAATCTGTCAAGCATTACAGTCAGTGAACAGCGGAGAACACGGATCCGTGGAGCTACACCGTCAAAACATGGGCCTCAAAGCTTGATTATTGGACTGTGTTTCAGAAGAAAACTAAAACATTTCAATGCAAACTAAACGATTTCTTTCTTTAAAGACAAACGGCTTTGCGATGTCACACTTTACTGAATGAATCAGCATTTTTGAAAGAATCACTTGAGTGAATGATTCAATGACTCACTCATAAAGACTTTACTGAACAAATCTCTTGAGTGAATGATTCAATGACTCACTCATAAAGACTTTACTGAACAAATCTCTTGAGTGAATGATTCAATGACTCACTCATAAAGACTTCACTGAACAAATCTCTTGAGTGAATGATTCAATGACTCACTCATAAAGACTTCACTGAACAAATCTCTTGAGTGAATGATTCAATGACTCACTCATAAAGACTTCACTGAACAAATCTCTTGAGTGAATGATTCAATGACTCACTCATAAAGACTACACTTGTTTCATGGATGAATCAGTATCTTTTTATTAAATCTCTTGAATAAATGATTCGATGATTCATACTTTACTTGTTTCATTACTGGCTGAATCTGCATTTTTTAATGAAATCTTTTGCATGAATGATTCAATGACTCACTCATAAAGACTTCACTGAACAAATCTCTTGAGTGAATGATTCAATGACTCACTCATAAAGACTTCACTGAACAAATCTCTTGAGTGAATGATTCAATGACTCACTCATAAAGACTTCACTGAACAAATCTCTTGAGTGAATGATTCAATGACTCACTCATAAAGACTTCACTGAACAAATCTCTTGAGTGAATGATTCAATGACTCACTCATAAAGACTTCACTTGTTTCATGGATGAATCAGTATCTTTTTATTAAATCTCTTGAATGAATGATTCAATGATTCATACTTTACTTGTTTCATTACTGGCTGAATCTGCATTTTTTTATGAAATCTCTTGCATGAATGATTCAATGACTCACTCATAAAGACTTCACTGAACAAATCTCTTGAGTGAATGATTCAATGACTCACTCATAAAGACTTCACTTGTTTCATGGATGAATCAGTATCTTTTTATTAAATCTCTTGAATGAATGATTCAATGATTCATACTTTACTTGTTTCATTACTGGCTGAATCTGCATTTTTTAATGAAATCTCTTGCATGAATGATTCAATGACTCACTCATAGAAGTTGATGAACTTGAAGCATTTGCCGCATTATAAATAACAATAACAACAAAAGAATTGTTGGCTCACACCGCATGTAGTTTGGACTTGATTAACTTTAATTTGTTTTTAGGGCCCTTTCAATGCACGCAATCTGTAAAGCTTAAACTAAAGCATCCTTTGACCTCTGACCTTTCAAACTGCAGCCAATGATTACTAGACAATTTGCATAATGTCTTCAATATACGTCTGTGAACGATCGATTCAAATTTGGTTCTGGTCTTTACCCGTCTGTCACACTGAGATCGTGATCGTACCATCGAGTCTCTGATGTGCGCTCATGAAGGTGTTCCTCATCTCCTCGCTGGTGTCGTCCATCAGCTTCTCGAAGTCCCGAGAGCTTCTGTTTCTGAAGATCTGCTCCATCTCTGAGTTACAGCAGGATCTCTGAGCAGCGCAAACCTGCAGATCAGCTCCTGAGACACGCCACAAATAATGCTTTCATTCAGAAAACATGCTTTAACTCATCAACAGGACAGTGCAGACATTCATAATGATACTAAAGATTCTGTTTCAAATAAATGCTGAACTCTCTGTTCATCAAAGAATGATGCCCTGAGGATGGTCTTTAGACCGAAAACTTGGTCTATTAAATTTGCTTTAAGGATTTGAGTGTGCGGACAGTTTATTTATTGACATCAAAGAATCCTGAAAAATAAAATGTATTTCAGTTTCCACAGAAATCTGAAGCAGCTCAACTGTTTTCAACACTGATAATAATCATAATGGTGTCTTGATCATCAGATCCTCATATTAGAGTGATTTCTGAAGGATCATGTGACACTGAAGACTGGAGTAATGATGCTGAAAATACAGCTTTGATCACAGGAATAAATTACACTTTACTGTATATTCACATAGAGAACAGATGATTTACACTGGAGTAATATTTCACTATCATTACAAGCACAAGTTGTCATCGCTGCCTAACATGTTAATTACGTCTGCTTAACTCAATGCATGACGTTAAAGAACCTTTATTTCTATAGCGCTTTTTACAACACAGAGTGTTTCAGAGCAGCTTTGCAGAGATAACAGGAAAATAAAGAGAATAGCGTCACAGTCCAGCTTAAGTAAGTTCAGTGATGTTCACTCATTTTCGTTGTAAAATAGTTAAGTTATTTTATATACATAGCCGCTTTGGAAAAAAATATAGCTATTACTATATTATACCTGTTTATAATACTGTCATATGAACTATATTATAGGTGTATATAATATGAACGTTACTGTAACTGAACACTTACTGCACTGTAACACTGAAAGCTGCTTTGAAACAATATGAAATGTGAAAAGCCCTATAGAAATAAACTCGAATTGAACAGAATTGAAGAGATCTCTGGCCTCTTATCAGCAAATCTAAATAAGGTGATTTGCAACATATGGCAATTAAAGCACTAATATTGCAAACTAATTAAATAAACAAACTTTAGTATTGCAATATAACGAGGACAGCAGATGTTGCATGCATCCACATCGCTGAGGAAATACAGTTTCATTTCACAAATTCCATTTTCTAGATTCAATTGTAATGGTAAAATAAAATTTTAATAATCAAAAGGTATTTCTGATTAATTGAAATTGTAACAATTTATTAAAAGTTTAACACAAATTTAATTTTTTGGACCGTTTTAGCTGTTTTATTTTCTGGATTCCATTTTAATGGTTTTCTTAAATTTTAATAATCAAATGTCTAAACTTTAACAATTTAATAATCGTTTACAGTTTTTACAAAAATAGGGCACTATGAAGTATTTTATGATTTATTGTGCAAATGTATTGTCAAAGACGGTGGTAATCAAGGCATAAAACTTAAAACGAAAATGTTACAAATCCTCTTTTTTTGGCAAACAAACTTCCGTACAACAGGTTTACTGTGAACATTAAAACATGGAAGAGAAATTGAGTGAAATTCCTTAAAAAAATTAGTTTTACTGTAAGTGACATTCACGTAAACTCTAAATAAATGTCACAGAAATCTCAGGCCCTTCATCACTAACACACTTTCAGTCCATCACACATTTCTTACAGTCCCAAATCCTCACAAACCACAAAATTATGTTTATAGGAGCCTTAAACAGGAGACAGCCTTGAGATTATTATTGTTAAAACAAACCAACAATTATAGCCATGAGTCATGAATAAAGGCCTTACTTATATTTATATATAAACGGCATGAAAGTCTGCTAATATATGCAAAAAAATAGCATTATTCCCTGTAAGTCTCATCGATTCAAACAGGACCACTGAAGCAAATCTGCAGTTTGCAGGGTCAGAAATATTGTGTTATATATAGAGAGGGAGATTTTAATGATTCGTTAGCAATTATTGGTCCATCTCTACTGATCGCTTTATGTTTCTCAGTATTTCAGTTATTTTCAGCTGCTCAAATAAACCTGACAGACTGAAATCCAGCAGCTTTTCTAAAACAACATGAGAGTTGAACATAACACATGCATAATATAGAGTATGAGTTGTAAATTCACATTATTAAACAATAGAGATGCCAAACTCAGAGTTGATATGATATGAACTGCAGCGGGAAACGACCATCTAGACAAACTAACATACATTTCCACCAATATGCCACACTATACGGGGTAAGTTGTCACAACCGATTATGGGTTTTTCAGTTAAATGTCAACAAAATGACTATGAAACAAGACCATTCATGAAAAACAGTACAGTGTAATAGCCAACTCAAAATGCATAGTTTAATCATATATATGAAAATCACTCACACAGCCTTCATTTTACAGTGACATTAATGTTTTATTGTGTTCACTTGTTACTGGACAGTTAAATATGATTCTGTAACTTCGCCTGGAGGACAAAATTAAATATTATATCATTCTAGTAATTTAAAACAGTTACAGTGTGAAACCAGCATACACTGACTGGAGATTGTGACAACTTGCCCCGTCTCCTGTATTCACTCACATTGTGTGATTAAACTCTTGTACCTGATGTTTCCTCGGCAGGAAAACTGATGTCAGGACTCAAACCCAGAGCCGTGAACGCGCCCTTCACCTGACTGCAGTTCAGCGCGTGCACATCCGCGGCGACGGGCGCACGCAGGACCAGGAGCGCGCACAGAGCCGCGAACATCCCGAACTCCTCCAGTCTGATGCTTTACTCCTGAGTTACTCCTGCTTTACTCCTGAGTTACTTCTGCGTTACTCCTGCTTCACTCCTGCTTCACTCCTGAGTCACTCCTGCTTCACTCCTGAGTTATTCTGCTTCACTCCTGAGTCACTTACTTCACTCCTGAGTTACTTCTGCTTTACTCCTGCGTTACTCCTGCGTTACTCCTGCGTTACTCCTGATTTACTCCTGATTTACTCCTGATTTACTTCTGCGTTACTCCTGCTTCACTCCTGAGTCACTTACTTCACTCCTGAGTTACTTCTGCTTTACTCCTGCGTTACTCCTGATTTACTTCTGCTTTACTCCTGCGTTACTCCTGATTTACTCCTGATTTACTTCTGCGTTACTCCTGCTTCACTCCTGCTTCACTCCTGAGTCACTCCTGATTTACTCCTGATTTAGTCCCGCGTTACTCCTGCGTTACTCCTGATCCTCTTTAGAGATTAACTTCTTCACTGCACAGTTTTTGTCTTGTGAGTGACCGAGAGAAAACAGATCCTCCTCAGAGATGAACTTCTTCACTTCACAGTTTTTGTGTTGTGAGTGACCGAGAGAAAACAGATCCTCCTCAGAGATGAACTTCACTGAACAGTTTTTGGGTTGTGAATGACTGAGAGAAAACAGATCCTCAGCAGAGATGAACTTCTTCACTGCACAGTTTTTGGGTTGTGAGTGACTGAGAGAAAAGGCTATTTTACCGTGGACAGTGTGTGTAATACGTCATAGAAATGCCCTGAACACGCATCATTCAACAACATCATTACAGTGCAATGAAAGGAATAACTGCATATCAGCCACGATCTGCTGGGGATATTTAAATAAAACATGAACCCCAAGACCTCTTGGGGAATTTCAGAAAACTTTCATCCAGAATTGATCTCTTCTCTCGAGATCTGCAGATGCCACTGAAATGTTGTTTATCTATTTACACAAACTTCCAGAAGTTTGCAGCAGTTTATGTTGTTCATCATCCTTTTCTTTTTGAGCTTAACAGATAACAGGGAATGTTCTAGTAAGGACTCAGCGTTATGAACAAACATTATTTCAGTAATCACATTAATAGAATGTTAATCAGGTCTTTAATAAAGTTCTTACAACTTTAGAACAAAAATATTATTTATACATCATTCATGGAGCGTTTCTTTTCTGGAATGTTTCAGTTGGACGTTTCTCTGATGTTTTTTAAATGTTACTTGTTTCACACATTCAGAGAACATTCTAAAGTAACGTTCGGAGAACATTCTAAAGTAACATTCGGAGAACATTCTAAAGTAACATTCAGAGAACATTCTAAAGTAACATTCAGAGAACATTCAAAAGTAACATTCAGAGAACATTCAAAAGTAACATTCAGAGAACATTCAAAAGTAACATTCAGAGAACATTCAAAAGTAACATTCAGAGAACATTCTAAAGTAACATTCAGAGAACATTCTAAAGTAACATTCAGAGAACATTCAAAAGTAACATTCAGAGAAAATTCAAAAGTAACATTCGGAGAACATTCAAAAGTAACATTCAGAGAACATTCAAAAGTAACATTCGGAGAACATTCAAAAGTAAAGTTCAGAGAACATTCTAAAGTAACATTCAGAGAACATTCTAAAGTAACATTCAGAGAACATTCTAAAGTAACATTCAGAGAACATTCTAAAGTAACATTCAGAGAACATTCTAAAGTAACATTCAGAGAACATTCTAAAGTAACATTCAGAGAACATTCTAAAGTAACATTCAGAGAACATTCTAAAGTAACATTCAGAGAACATTCAAAAGTAACATTCAGAGAACATTCAAAAGTAAAGTTCAGAGAACATTCTAAAGTAACAATCAGAGAACATTCAAAAGTAACATTCAGAGAACATTCTAAAGTAACATTCAGAGAACATTCTAAAGTAACATTCAGAGAACATTCTAAAGTAACATTCAGAGAACATTCTAAAGTAACATTCAGAGAACATTCTAAAGTAACATTCAGAGAACATTCAAAAGTAACATTCAGAGAACATTCTAAAGTAACATTCAGAGAACATTCTAAAGTAACATTCGGAGAACATTCAAAAGTAACATTCAGAGAACATTCTAAAGTAACATTCAGAGAACATTCTAAAGTAACATTCAGAGAACATTCTAAAGTAACATTCAGAGAACATTCTAAAGTAACATTCAGAGAACATTCTAAAGTAACATTCAGAGAACATTCTAAAGTAACATTCAGAGAACTTTCTAAAGTAACATTCAGAGAACATTCTAAAGTAACATTCAGAGAACATTCAAAAGTAACATTCAGAGAACATTCAAAAGTAAAGTTCAGAGAACATTCTAAAGTAACAATCAGAGAACATTCAAAAGTAACATTCAGAGAACATTCTAAAGTAACATTCAGAGAACATTCTAAAGTAACATTCAGAGAACATTCTAAAGTAACATTCAGAGAACATTCTAAAGTAACATTCAGAGAATATTCAAAAGTAACATTCGGAGAACATTCAAAAGTAACATTCAGAGAACATTCTAAAGTAACATTCAGAGAACATTCTAAAGTAACATTCAGAGAACATTCTAAAGTAACATTCAGAGAACATTCTAAAGTAAAGTTCGGAGAACATTCTAAAGTAACAATCAGCGAACATTCAAAAGTAACATTCAGAGAACATTCAAAAGTAAAGTTCAGAGAACATTCTAAAGTAACATTCAGAGAACATTCTAAAGTAACATTCAGAGAACATTCAAAAGTAAAGTTCAGAGAACATTCTAAAGTAACATTCAGAGAACATTCAAAAGTAAAGTTCAGAGAACATTCTAAAGTAACATTCAGAGAACATTCAAAAGTAACATTCGGAGAACATTCTAAAGTAACATTCTCAATGTTTGAAGAATGATGAAATGGAATGTTTCCTTAACGTTTCCACGGGACATTTTGAACATTCAAAAATAGTGTTAAATGTAAATCTCTGATTTCATGCAGTGTTCTCCCAGTCCTCTGCAGAGTTGCTGTTACACGCCAACATGCCTTCCAAAGCGGTGAAGAACGAGTTCCTGGATCAGCTCCTGTCCGTCACTGGCCTCTACAGGGAAACCGTTTGGGAGAGAACTGGATGCTGGTGATCAACCGCTTGTATTCATGATAAAACTGTGTTCTTGTACAAAACTGCTTTTGTTAGATGTTCTCTCAATGTGAAAACCAAGTCAAATGCTCTTCCTAAAGGATCTGATGTAAACTATAATGATCTCCACTAACTAATGACAAACTAACCCACATTAACCCTTCAGTGACTGAGATCCGGGTGAAGGATGAGGAGACACTCGGATCATATCCGCTCCGACCGGGTTCATGTTGAGGCCTAATGATGCTAACCCTAACCCTAATGTGGACTTATATATGCGTCACTCGCACTGCCGTTGCGTATACATTTATACAGCGCTTTAACAATATAGATGTTTCACAGCAGCTTTACAGTGATAACAGGAGATTACAGTAACAGAGAGTGTTTAGGCTTTACAGCAGCTCTAGAATAGAGTTATTGTCCAGATAGTTTTGATTGATTCACTTCCATTACAAAGATCATTAGTTATTAACTTAGCGGCCGCTAACACAACACCGCTCTAACAGAAGACAGAAAATTTTTTTCTCACAATTGCTCGATATAAAGTCAGAATTGCGAGATATAAACATGCAATTCTGAGAAAAAAAGTCTGATTTGCGAGTTTATTTCTTGCAATTGCGAGTTTTTACCTCACAACTCTGACTTTATAACACAGAACTGCGACTTAATATAACACATTCTGAGATAAAAAGTCAGAACTGCGAGATGTAAACTCGCAATTGTGAGAAAAAAAGTCAGAATTGTGAGAGAAAAAGTCGCAATTACCTTTTTTATTTTTTATTCTTTGGCGGAAACAAGCTTCCATAAAAACCTGTTCTAGTAGAACCCAAAAACAACATCAAGACTTTGTAAAAGGACACAGGCTCTTTAAACACATTTCAGTTCGTTTAATATAAAGCACGTCTCATGAACTTGCACAAATACAGCCGCTCACTGTGTCCTCACTGTTTTCAGAAGCATTAGCACTTCAACATCGAACTATATAAATGGTATTTTTGGTACACTATAACAGCACATTTTCAAATGCAATCCGGCTCAGTCACAACACACTCGAGAGTGTGTACTGTGTAGAGCTGGATATGAAAGGGTTAAAAAACTACTATTCCAAACAGCAGTACTGAAAGAGCTTTTTTAAAACATAGTCATATGTCATAAGATGGGCATCTGTACCTCAGGAAACACATCTACGACTTCGAAACAGTGTACTGAAGGGTTAATTCATCATCAATAGCCTAATATCATCACACACAGGCCTCGTGAATGACTAGTTCTCCAAAATATCTGTGTTAAAATGGCCCTTTCAGTACAACAGTAAAAGTAAAGTTTGACCAGACCTTGACTGTGTAGAGATCGCCATCTGCTGGCCTCAGGGATTCACACATGTGGACAATTACGGCTATATTTTCCTGTGTCGTTTCCTTTGAAAACGCGGCACACTGAACGGTGTTAAACAGACTGATGAGATATGAAGAATAACACCCAGGTTAACCTTAGTTGATATCAAGTCAACATAATGACTGATCCATTCACACATCATGAGCGGTTATTGAAGAAAATGTGCAATAATGATCCCAGATCACTAATATGAACAAACCAACGCTTAACTGAAGAGATCTGATCTGAGTATCTGTCAATCAGGCTGACAGCTGTCAATCATTATCACACATGGTTTCACACAGAAAATATGCAGAAACCATTGGAAATGTTGACATTAATAACTTACTAACTAATAACTTACTAACACACAAAACAACTCTGAACTGATTAAATCCATTGACTTACTGGTGTTTGTGCTGCTGCTTTCCCTCCAAAAATGATGTCACTTCCGGGAGAATGATGATTGGTTCTTATTTGTCATGTTTTAAAAAAAAAAAGAAACTTCAAACTTTTCAGAAAATAAAAC